AAAAAAAAAAAAACAATTGGAAAACATGGAGATCAAAAACAAAGAAACAGCATCCAACATAGATGGGAACGAAAAAAAAAAAATTTTATGCGAACTCTTCATTGCGAATGAAATAAATTAGCAAATGGAATACGAAAGTATAAAAAGAGAGGGAAAAAACTGACCTTTTCGCCGCTGTCGCTGGGCAAATAGAAGACGAGTATGGTGAGAAAGGATATGCCCATGCAGGGTATGATGAGATTGACCGTGTAGAAGAGGGTCTTGCGTCTCATGGTGATGTTGAAAGTGATGTCGAGGTACGGCTCGTCGCAGCAAGTATAAAACTTTTCGTTCCTGCAACAAAGAAAACAAAACGAAAAATACATACATACGTACACTGCGAAAAAAAAAAAAAAGGGAAGAAGTGGCTTTTTAACAATCAGCGAGGATACGAGTGGCGCATTCCGTTTCCGACTCGCGTGGCTTGGGTTTTGAATAAGAGCACTTTACTTTTTTCGACAGTTTATTATTCGTGTATCGGAAAGACACTGAAAAAAGCCATGTATAAAAAGTTCATCGTTTGAGGGTAAAAATAAAAAAAAAGGATGACACTTTGGTTAAACGCGAGCGAGTAAAAATGAAAGATTGCTACTTTCAAAAGGGGCCCCGATGGCGCTGCGGGCGCGTGCGGAATGAAAATCGTTTTCGCGGACGTGCTCTTTGAAATACGAGGGCGGAAGAAAAAAATGTTTTTATAAAAAGTGGAACGCTCCTATAGGGGGGCTGGAATGAATTATCTCACCTGACAGCCGGGACCTCGAGTATGTCCCACTCGACGGACGTATAAAACTCGGAGAGATCAACGCCGATGTCGATCACGTTGCTGCCCTGCACCTCGTCTATGTGCCTCAGATCGACCTGTGGACCAGTGCAAACTTTTAGATTGACCATTCGTACCATCGACCGTCAAAACTCGTCTCGAAACGAGTTTTATAAAGAGAGAGAGAGAGAGAGAGAAAAAAAAAGTTTTAGCACCATTTTGCCCGGGTTTCTCGTGTGAGAAAATTTACATGTATTTTTTTTCGGTCACCCCGAACTGCACGTACTCCGCTGATATCCCTTTGGGGGACCGGTTCTGCCTTGACACGTATAATCCGCAATTACGAGCTTCCACACAGTCCACCGACTTTGCTGTGTCAAAAATTCTCTTTCCCTCGCCAACTCACGTTCCGACTGCCCTCGGGGAGGCTCAATCGCCCTGTTAAGCTCGAGCATCGCTAATCTCAGACCAACGAGGCCTGCCTTTGCATTTTGGAAACGTGGATCGCGGCTCTAATTACCTTTGGTCTCGGGAAGCATCGATGCGTAAATCGAATATATGCTGTATTTTTTTTTTTTTTTTATTTTTTTTTTTATTGTTCAAAGAGAGATGTTCGTACTTCCGAAAGGAGCGTCGATTGCCACCACAACCACAAAAACCAATGCGAGGGAAACGAGTTCCGAAACCATTCGGTCCACTTCACCGAGTTTTATGAAGCGGCTAGAGCGACGCATCGGATAATCCACTTTTTCAAGTTGCACTCGACCCTCTTTTTTTCCTTTTTTTACCGCTTCCCAAATATGAAACTTTTCGACGCCCCGACGAGTCCCTCATTTTCAAACACACAAATCGCACGACGCAATTTGTTGAGGGAGAAAAAAAAAATCAAATTAAAAAGGACGACCGATACAACTAATGGAAAAACCCAAAACTCGATCAGATAAGAAGAAAAAAATCCCCCTTTCCTACCCCCATTCCGGAAAACATTCCCAGAATCCCTTGGCTCCTCGACCTTGAGCAGCTCATCGAATACCCGACCTCGGAATGTCCCGCAATTGGAATATTTGAGCCGCGAAAATTAGCGACCGGCCATCGATTACTCCGCAATGGATAATGTATATAATATGCCCATACATTCCGGCACACGCGATACACGTGTACCATACGTATAAAGGTCCACCCGCAGAGCGATATTGGAACGTTTTTTTTTTCCCGCGGCGAGTGACAAGCAGCGCGGACGTGCTCTTCCGAAAATAGATGTATAGATATAAAAATGGGTGAAAGGCTCGCCTGAAAGCCGTCGTAGGTCCAAGAGCCGAATTTCATGACGCAGGTCTGCTCGTCGAAGGGAAAGTACTCGACGTCGATCTCGCAGGAAGACTTGTATATCGCTGGTGGCTTCCACTCGACTCGGCCCGTGTAGTTGAGGGTGGCCTTCGTTGCCAGGGTCACCTCGAAGTTGCCATCGGCGCTTAACGCGCGAAAAATTAACAAGGAAACAATTTCATTAAAATAATCAAATGTATTTGCAAATTAAATCGGAGCCCAAGTATATTATAGAGGGTGGGTGATGGCCAATACTCACTTGTTGTACAAAACTATGTCGGGCCTCCATATGTGGTCAGAGGGAACGTGCAGCATCTCGACGCCCCCGTACTCCTTCGGATCCCATTGGAGCTTGTAATCGTACCACGACTGCAACCGCAAACGGAGCAAGGGATCAAGCAAATCTCTCTTTCCATCATCCCTACACTGTTACCTTTTACCTTTGCACAAATTCTCACTACGTGTACATTTTTCAAAGATACTTTGTTATTGATAAACTTTGAAAAATATCCTCCTAAATTGACCTTGCGACTTTTTTTTTACTTTTTTTTTTTTTTTCCACTAAAGTCTCCACAGTGCAAAAAAGGTTGAAAAAGTTGCTCGTGCACTGTAAAGCGATATAAAGAGCACGTGCCGAGATACAGGAGAAAGATATCTCGCTGGAATAAAAAAAAGACGGGGGGAGGCGTAAAGGTGGAACTTTTAAAAAGCCACGCGGAACCTTGTTCGAGGGTTGATTGGTTTGAAGAGGTACGCCGGCGTATAATATGTTAACGGCCCTCCTCGAGAGGACTACAAGTTGTACAGTATTGAACGGACTTTGAATGATCAACGCTCGTCACGAGGGCGAAATTTAATATGCGCCCTGAAGGCACGTACTGCGAGTCTTCTGGAATCGTAAACAATCTCGAGCCCAAAAGCACACCAGACCGGATCCCTCCGTAAATCCCCCGGACAATTAATACCCATTAGCCGTGTAAAAGCCCCAAACAACGGTGCTGACGTCCTCGTCCCCGTATATATCCACCTGTAACCAGACTAAACGTACACTGCCTTCCGAGCTGGCCTCGAATGGACGCCGTGTTGTACCATTAAAGGTGTCAACGACAATTCATTAGCTCGAGAAAAATGTTCGCGTGCTCTGACTTGGAGCAATTTCCTGAAATATTGTTCGTGACCATTAGGTAAAAGGTATACGTGATCGAGATGAAATCGCAATCGACACCAAAACAACATTGAAGCATCAGCTATGGTCTGCCCGTCTCGTGGAATAATTCAAATCATATGGTATCAAACAAGTTATATTTGTCCGTGTGACACAGGTTGTTGAGAGCAGTGTAGTGGAAAAACCTCGCGAATGTGGGTCGCTTTGCTTTTCGATTGGGAGTGCTCGTGATGCACGCAGTCAAAAATACGACAAAAGCGCGAGCGACCCGACGAGAAGAAACGCGGACAATTTTATTCAGCTCGCGATCAAACGTCCAAAAAATCATCCTCCGCGCGTCTAGGCTTTGTTTCCTTGTTTTTCGAATGCATCCAGCCATGCGTTGGTACAAAAACCCTCAGCTGTCACGTACACCCGTTTGCCCGTCCGTTACTCTTTGAGACGAGCGCGCGGTGATTTTTCGCTCCTCAAAAATTTTATTCACGCATCGAGCTCGCGTCTGTCGGAAAACACAGAGCCCGAATTTTCGCGCATACGCGCCGAGCTTTAGCGCGTTAGCCGAGCTTTTAAGGTTCTCTCGCGCATATTTTAAACTTTCCTGATGTTATATATCCCTCTCTCTCTGCTTTACTATAACAGTATACAGGATGCGTTTACGTTGCTGTACATACATACGCGCGGCCAGATGGGCTGTAAGCTCGTTCTCCTCGTCTATTTTGGGGGATGCATGCGAATGATAACACACGCCAAGTTTCAACTTTGTTCTCGCAGCTGCGGAAACTTTGCGATTAACCCAAACTATGTGCATTGTACAAGCGCTGTCGAGGCATATTTTTTGAATCTCGAAGCGTATAACGTTGTACATGTGAATTCCAAAGCCAAACAAAAACAATATTCAACCTGAATGTAAATTCAGCGGATGAGATAAAATACAGCTAAAGCGCACAAGTCTTTACGAGGATGGGCAAGGTCTATATATGGAGATATGTATACGCATCCGAAATCATAATAACAATCGCACCCTTCGCGTGCACGGCTGTTGCGAAACACGTAACAACTTGAACGGCCGTGTGTTACGGCACTGCGCTCTGATGACGTTGTAATAAAAGAGCTATATTCGTTTGGTCGGTCGCGAGCACAGGGTCTGGCACGACTTGGGCAGTAAAAGCGTAAAATTACGTCCATGTCTCACAATGTACGCATTCGAAAAATCGGCGAGTGATGGATATGGGCATATTACGAAGAACGAGAACATTATGGGGCTGGCTGTTACACGATCGTTACAACTGGTCATTCGGTAATCGAATGGAGCACCGGGACATATTAATGCGTGTACCAAGTGATAAATTAGCCCCCCCTCCCACTGTGTAATCCTTTCCTCGTAAGATTGATTGTCACGTACTGGGCTGAAGCTGTGGTGTTTGTTCGAGACTGATTAGTCGTATGGATGTTTTTTAATAAAACAATCCAAGTGAAAAAACCCAATGATCGACGTCGCGTATGGCGCGCAAGTATCAGGGAGTGTATGAGAAATGCAGTGGGATTAATATTGATAGTGCAGGAAGGGCGCTTTTCGACTTTTGAAAAGTGGGGTTTGCGCGATCACCCGATTGAGAAGAAAAAGTGTCCAAAGTCACGGTTGGAACATCGCGAAAACTTTTATATCGGCACGATCGTTGCCGTGCCATTAATTCTTGGCGCGTGGGTATGTCCCTTTCCCTCCCTTTCGTGACTTATACGTACGGAAGGACTTGCGCGGTACGACGAACGAGTGTTTTGAGACGAATACCAAGCGCTTGATTCGCAGTCACGTCCCTCGAGGGGTGTAAAGTTTGGAAAACAAGTCACACGTGCGTGGAGGAGACGCCGAAGGATACAAAAGTTTGTGTGCTCGTTGCTTTGCGAGTTGTTTTTCATAAGATCAATTTCGGCTAAACGATCAAAGTCCTTTTTGTTTACCCCAGCTTTTTAAAGACTAGTTCAAATAGCATCTATTTTGTTCTAAAAATCACGGTGAAAATGTCAACTGGACTATGAAACTTTTTAATCGGATGAACGTGATCAACAAATAAATAAACAGACGACAAGTTGCCGAGTTTCACAAAGCATTTTGCCATTAAAACTTGTAAAGCCCCTCCTCGAGTACACGAGAAATTTTTAATCAACAAGATCCTACCCAACAGTTGTTGCATTAACAATGGCTCGAAAACTGAAAGCTCCTTATACCGCACACAGAAGCTCTTTGCTCCACGGCCTTCGTAAATTACCAGGGACTGATCTAATTTTTTAAGATCCCCGAAACTCATGGACTTTGTACTCCTGAAAGCGCGTTTTCTTACGAAACATCTTTACTTTGATTGCCAGTAAAAAGGAAAATAATGATAAAAATCGCGCTCGCAAGCTCGGTAGAAACGGAGAAAGGAAGAAGGAAGTTCCCGCGAAATATCTCAGCGGCGACGATTCGAGCGTACGGCGGAGCGAGCGTGTCTTGCGGATGCGTTGACAGCCAGCCAACCACACGTTCAACGGGAAAGCGGAAATATGCTCGCTCGCGGGGTGTGATAAGAAAAAGACGCGTGGAGTGGTAAGTAGGTGGGTGAGAGAAATGTAGGCCGAAGCCACTGCATTTAAAGGCAGAATTGTATATAGGGACAGGTTGGAAGGAAGTGAGAGAGAGAGAGAGAAGGAACGAGTGGGGCGGGGGCTGGCTGTGCGCTTGATTTTTCTTATCCGCGAGCGAGGCGTTGGGCGAGTTTGCTCGGGGAGACGCTGGCTCTTCTCGGGTGAGAAAATGGCGAGATTATGTATGAATGGGAATTATTTTTCCGAGTTTTGCATTTTTATAGGGGATAAGGGGAGATGGAGAGTGTAGTGGCTTCCGGAGCGAGTGAGTGGCTGTTTCTCCAACTTTTATACACCTTTTTTTTATTACCCGTCCTTTTTGTTTTATTGAATGATTGTTTTAAACGTGTGCAAGGTTCATCTGTTATTATATAAATGAGTGGGTACAGTTATTTCTCAGATTTTTACTATTTTTGCATATTTTCCTCAAATATTGTTAATTAAGTTCATGATAAAGCTCTTACAAAAGAGTTTGAATAATTTTTTAAAATAGTTTGACCCAGTTTTCCTTAAACTTTTTTTTTTAATTTCATTTATTTTTTTTTATTTTTTTTTTTAAGTGGACCCCACGATTTGCCTTCCCGCATATACACGTTGTTACAACGTTACACCTCGATGCAGATTTATTTAGAATTTTTTTCATTGCATAGTATAATATATATAACGCGGTACGAGTGTATTTTTTTTACGGTTTGTCCGTTTTTTTTTTTTTTATACCGCTTTTGTTAACTTCTTACCCTTTTCGGTAATTACATTCTTGCTTTCGACACCTTCTTTCTCACTGTGTAATATTGTGGCCCCTTGAGTGCAGGTATTATTTTTATCTCGATTTTTAACTCTCGTTCTCCATCCCACCATTAATATTTTCGCAATTTTTTTTTTCTCCGCAAATCTCACTTCTCTTGTTTACCGTAGCGAGGATAAAATGCGCAATCCAGTATTTTTTCACATTTGATAGGGATAAAAAAAAATTAAACAAAAAATGAGTAGGTAAATGTGAGATGTTTTGTTCAAAAGCACAAAAAAAAAAGAAGAAACGGAAGCGATTATTATTATTATTATTTTCTTTTTGTTTTCGTAATGAAATCCTTTAACGTAGTGCACCGCGCGACCGTCAATCCCCTGTATTATCGCTCATTCACTCACACTTTCATTCCCACATATAGCATACACGTTGCCAACGAATCCGTCGTAAATTTTTTTTTGTTTGCCGAACAATACTTTACGAATTACGTGTGCTCTGCGAGACGCTCGTACATAATGTCACCGCCACTCCTTGCAAACACCCTACACACACACACACACATATACGCACAAACCTTTTTGTTTTGAACTCCGCACCGATTGGAAGTGGGTTAAGACGAGACGTATGTCCATGCGCGCGCGTACAGGAGAATTGCTCTCGAGGACGAAGCTCCAAGTCGAAACAAGTTGTCCTTAAACGATCGCGAGCTCGCTTCCGGATTCAAAATCGCGTGACCTCTTTGTTTGGCGAAAAATGCGATTCTTCAGATGTGTTTCATGACTCGACGACGGTGTCCTTCGCGGTGCCGATGAATAGAAACAGCGCGACACGAGATCGGACCGAATAATATAATATACATCCATAGTGGCCAAACGAGCACGACGACAAAGACGATAAAAAAAAAAAGGCTTTGTGCATTGTCACTCGAGAGCTAAAGCTCTTCGTTCAAGACCGAGAACAGGACCGTAAAGCTCTGGCACGATTGACAACAAAACAAAAACAAAAAAAATACCAAACACTTCTTGAGCACCTCCGAGCTTAAATTCCACTATGTACACAGAAACGATGGGCTCTTGAAATTCGTCATTTTGCTGGGCTTTTGTCGGAGTGAATTTAATTTGACGTGAAAAACGAAGGTGATAGCTTTTGATACTTGGCGTCGAGTTGTAGGTGCCATTTCATTATAATGGAAAATAAAAAAAAAAAATTATCTCCGAATCGTATAGCGGAAGGTACCGTAGCAGCCGTAGCGCCGACGACAAGCGAAGAAGACGAAGGTGCCATTAGTAGTAGTGGTAGTAGTGAGTAGCAGTAGTCGTGGTGGTGTGAGTGGCAATCGTGATAGCTATGGCCGTCTCAAAGGGTCGTGATCACTGCATCAGTGAAAAAAATAGTTTTGGTTTATCGGTGTGGCATATGGCGCAACAAAGCTATACGCATATATTATATACTGTTACGTAAGTCTGTCTGACTTTTAGTGCGTGGAAATATTGTGTTACGAACGATATTGTTTTCTTGCATTTGTCAACAACAGAAAATTAACTGCTTACTTTTTTCGAATTTATTAAAATTAATAAAAAATATTATCACGCACTGTCAAGTGTGTTTGTATCAATTGAAAAATTGGCGAAATTGGCAAAATATATCGTTAAATACTAAATGGGTGTAACTGAGATTTATTGCATTATGAAAAAACCTGGTTTGGACGTTGTCGAAGCTATCTCGGAAAGGCGGACATCGATGGGCAGCCTGTCGTCGTAGAGGGTTGGCGCCTGCAAAATAATACCCGCGGTCCCAACCACCACTGCCAGCGTGAATATCCACAGGAACAGACGGTCGAGCACCATCGCCACGAACTTCCAGTCCTCCTTTACCTGTTTTTTTATTTATTTATTTTTTTTTATCATTTGTGCTACTCTAGACTTTTTTCATAGTTATGAGTGATTTCGAAATGACTTTGACTAATTACAAGGAATTAAAAAAAAGGAAAAGTTTCTCCTCGAATTTCGAAGGATAACTCACTTTTGTCGAGTCCTCTTCGCGCTTCGTGTGATCGGCGATGTAGCGCACGCTCTCGACGGCCCGATACAGCTCGGGGCAGTGGTGCCAGTGATTCAGACTACGGCAGAGCTCCTCGACGCTGTCTTCGGTTGGCAAGGGGTGATGAGTCGTCGTCGAGGCCGCCGCTGCAGCAGCACCGGGTGAACCATGAAGCCTGCACTGACTGCCGAGGTTTATCGCTTCCAGCTCCCTGTTGAGTGTGAAAGGGGATGTTGCTTTTTTTCTTTTCTTACATCGTCTTATGAAATATGTTGCGCGAGTATGAAAATAAAAATCTTGAGATCTTAAGCCAAAACGCTTGGCTTGATAATCACAGATCCGAGAACTTTGAGACAAAAATGGGTGTTAGGTGCCGATTTATTTTTATTCAATCGGCAGAGGCACAATATGGATTTTATGAATCTGTTTCATAAAAAAAAGGCCAAAAAAAAAAAGAAATTTATCGTCGGCATTTCACTGATTTGTTGTTAAATAAACGTCAACTAGGTGAATATATAAACACAATGAGTGGGCGTTGAGTAATAATTGGACCTGATGTTGTCCCGCGAATCGAGGCTGGGAAACAAGATCGAGGACTCGAGCAGTTCCGAGGCCGAGGCCTCGGCGTAGGGGTCGTGGCGCAGCTCCAGGCCGTTGCAGGTGCGCACGACGACGCGCTGGGACGAGGACGCCGATGGCGATCGGTGCGGGTGATGTTGCTGCTGCTCGTGGTGGTGGTGGTGGTGGTGATGCAGGGGATCGTGATGCTGGTGGTG